TTCTACAACCTCCCAGTACTAGCTGGTGCAATCATGTTATAATGCAGACCCAATGGGATACAGTTTTTCTAATATATTTTGTAAATTTGAATTTCATTACTAGTGGAATTTAAACTCTTGTCCTGCTACTTGCCACTTGGGGGTGCGACAACTTACCAACTACACTAAGTTGCCACACTCTAGTATTTATTTATTTATTTTATTTTATTTTTAATCTTCAAAGATGAGACCATGCCTCTATCTTTATTAAAATCTAGTATTTATTTATATTATATTTAACTTAATATTATTTATATAAAAGCATAATTCTTCTAATACTAATGCTTTATTAACAATTTTTTATCTAGAAGCATTCCAATTTATTTATAAATTTAATATAACCCATTTCTTTAATCTTTTATATTCAGATCATTACATAAAAAAATAACCATATGTTTTTAATCATTCATATCATCATTCTGCATAGTACCTACTTACGAGCTGTGGTACCAGGCTAATTTCACATCTTACAGGTTTCTCAATATCCAATCTCAAATCTGAAAAATCCTCAGTCTTATCTTTCAAAAAACACTTGAAATAATCGATATCCATGGAGGTTATATTCTTTTGGGTTCATTGTAGCATCGGCCAGATAGAACTTTCTTCAGAGTTTTCAGAGGGAATTTTAATAAGGTGCAAAACTTTAGGCTTAAACAAGGGTCGTTTGCTACGAAGAAGGCGTGGGAAGAACATCCATCCACACAATCGGCACCAAATGTTATACCCGAGATTGGGAGAGCAATATTATACGTGTGTAGAATAGCTTCGGGCATAACATAAGTTACACGGAATAAGTGTTTATTAGGGATTCTAGTCAGCTATAAAGGAGAGTTGAAAGTACTTAATTTATTATACAACAAGCAGAACGATCTTCTCTTCTCTTTATTAGTTTGAGCATCATATTAATACATTTTACTTTCAAGGGGTTTCGACTTTCACTAGCAGCTATCTATCCCTCTGAGGGTTATTCACCCTTATTGAGAGTTATTCGTCTCTTGCTGAGAGTTAAAACCACCCAGCTAAGCCTCCACTATACATGCCCTGAGTCTTGATCAAATGGTAATAAAATTATAACACTAACTTGATAAAGAAATTATAACACTATATAGCTTGATAAAGAAATTGTCATAACACAGGCTTTAAACGTCCCCTAAATTTGGCATTAATTAAGGGTTTAGGCATGTAACCTAAAATTTAACATTAAAATTTCGACTGATACGGTACGTAGAGAATTTGAAACCGGTTTTATGTTAACTGATTAAAACTAGTTTTAATACTGTAAAGCAGAAACATGCAGAAACAGATTATCCATGTATTTATCGTTATCGTTATTATTATATACTATTTATATGTATCTGACACTGTATAATACCAGAATTAAAACCTTATCCTTTATTTAAAATCATTCACATAAATATCATTTAATGGTTTAGCTTCTTGTTAAATACTTCAATTGTTCATTCGAGGATTCTCATGAATACTTTAATTGTTCATTCAAGGATTCTCATGAATACTTTCAATTAGATGAGTTGCCTACATTTAATGGAATATTTTCGAGTTTCATGCATTTTAGATAACATTTATTGATTGGAAATGAAATTCAATGTGATGAGGATTGGCTACAATTTGGTTAGAAATATGGCTCAAAATTATTATGAAGAAAAATTCACAAGACATTCATTTTATAATATATAATAACAATAATAATAAGAATAAATTTAAAAATGATACGTACGTACGTATGGGTATCGGGATTATCCGAATACTCATTTAAAATGGATTTTTATGGATATTCAGATTTACCATGAAGTTATGCTTGTAATCGACGCTAATAAGTACAGAAGTATTTTGGAAAGTTGGTGTTAAAAGATTATTTAAAGAGTTTAACAATGCCTTTTATTGCATAACAAGATATTTAATGTTTAGTCATGCCAAATTTGATAGGTTTACATTTTATATTTTATGTGCTTTAATAATATTGTTTGCATCACTTAAAAATAATGTTGTTGATAAACAAGTAAACTTCGGAAAATCGTTAAGATCCTAAGTAGAATTTTATAAAAAAATAGATCGTCAAATTTCATGTTTGTGAACTGATTTGGGTGTCACGTTCGTAACCAGTTACCACCAGAGTAAACCACTTACATGCGTTTAATATCGGTAATATTTCAATTTTCTTTGTATTCTTGTTTTGGTTGGATAATTCCTTGCAGATTTTATTAGTTTATTGTAAATCGCATGCATTACTCATTTGCATACAATAAATCTTTTGAGATAAATGAGTCAAATACGTTAAATTAAAACAATTTCCAATATAATCTTGCGCATTTTGTTTACTTACATCATGTATCGTGCTTTAGAGTATTTTACGTTTTCGCGGGCTCTTTAATTGTCTTAACTTTTTTCATTCCTTTCAATCCTTTTTTCTTTTCTTAAATCTCTTTTTCTTTTTCTCTTTGGCAATTATTATCTAAGTTCATCTGATGCTAAAACTCGGTTTAAAACTTTTAGACAAAAAAAAAGAAGTATGTTATTAATATATATATATATGTGTATCTATATATTTATATCTATACATATATATATGTATTATCTTTTATATATTATTATATTTTTATTAAGTAATTTCTGTAACCATTTTTAGGGTAAAACTAACCCTCGAGCCAAGTCCGAGCTACCGGCTTCTTTACCTGTTTTCGAGTGGCAAGTTACTGGCGATTCTGGTTTAGGTGACCTTATGACTCAAGAAAATAATGTCATTTCACCTCCAGATGATGCCATATTTGGGACCACAAATGAGCGTAAAATTCCTGTTAAGAGAGCTCCAATAGTAAACATTGGTCGAACTTCAAATGTTGAATCTAGTCGAATACGTTTGATGCAAATAATTGAGAATGAAGATGCTCGAAATACCTTTCAGGAGTATTTAAAATCTCAATATTGTGAAGAAAATTTGGACTTTTACATGGATATTGTACAATATCGTGAACTTTTCTCATCTGAGATTGACATAAATAATGATGTTAGAGAAATAAGCTCAACTGCAAAATACATATGGAATTATTATTTAGATTCTGACACATCGTCAAAACCTTTAAATGTTCCACAGGACCTCGCAAATCAATGTAGACAAAAAATAGATTCAAAAATGTTTACAAAAGATATATTTGATAAACTTCAACAACATTGTTTTGACCTTATGGTTCAAGATTCTCTCCCAAAATTCTTGCGTAAATCTATAATGCATGAAAATTGTTCTCCTTCAAACTCTTCAATACCTTCTCATCTTAAGCCTCCATCTTCATCTCAGAAACCACTTTTTGGTCCGAGGAGATCACTTTCCTCTGGTTCTCTTCGAGCAAGAATGGCTTCAACCTTGGCAACTCTTAAAACTGCTGTTAGTGAAGTAAATATTTCCACTGGACTTCAGTTGAACTCTGCCACTACAGATAATCAAACTCCCAAATGTAATAAAAACAATATCTCTGCACCTATACACCTATCAAAGTCAAAGGATCAAACTTCTCAAACAATAATGGCTCAAAAAAATAAGACAAATTCTAGCTTCAATATCTCTGCACCTATACCCCTATCAAAGGATCAAACTTCTCAATCAATAATGGCTCAAACAAATAAATCAAATTCTAGCTTCAATGTCACTGCTGCTCAGGAAAACAAATCAAGTTCAAGTGAAAATAGATCAAATTCGAGTTTTAATAGCACATATGCACAAGAAAATAGATCAAATTCAAGTTTTAATAGCACTTTTGCTCATGAAAATAGGTCAAATTCAAGTTTCAATATTACATCTACTAATGTAGATCTTCCGGAAAGCAATAGATCTTCTACAGTATCTACTGATTCTGTACCGTCGTCGCCGTCCACAATATCCTCTTTTAGTACAAATTCTGTCTCATCACGATTGTCTTTATCAAAAATCACTCGTCGCGTACTCACGCGTCGCCGAAATTCAACAAGCCTGGTCTCGGCTCCAAAAATTATGGAAATGCCAGGATCATATCCATGTGCTACTGTTGTCGACGGCGATGAATGTGATGAATTAGGAAATATGTCACATGGCCAACCTTCATGGCAGAAACAGAAACTTCGTCGTAACATGTCTACATCAGATTTTCAATCTGGCTCAAAACCGCATTCTTCAATTGTCATGGGTAACCGGATATTTGGTACTGACAAGTCTCTTCCTCCAATTCCTGCTGCAAATTGACTCAAGTCATATTTATAATCCTGAATTTATATATTTATAAGTTTGGTCAAATGATATCATTTTGCCAAAACTGTCTATTTATTTGCATAAAAGATTATACATAACAGACAAACTTTTTAACACAAATTTTAAATATAAATTTTAAATATAAATTATTTTTTTTTATTTAGGGCTTTATGGAGTTTTTTTTTGTATATTTTTTTTCTTATTATATGTATAGTGAACGCCATTGTAAAGGCCAAAGAAATATTTATATGATCCTTTTTTTAAAAATCAAAAAAAGCAAATAAATCTATTTATATGTGAATACGTATTATTGCTAACTTGAAGTGAAGTGTTTATGTTGAAGATCATGTGACATTTTGGGCCGGAAATTGCAGATCGGAAATTCAAAACATTGCTTATGCATAAGTAATAACCTTTAGTGTTCTAACAAAAAGCTTTCCTTGGGCAATTTTGCTAATATACTTACTAACATCTGACCATATTGTAATCACTAAGGAAGTTAATTTTTCGGTTAACATCACCCCCCAGCTGAAGTCTCCCCCCGAAAAATGAACTGCCAATCAAAACGCTGGATGACTCTCGCCAGTCACCTGATTTACATCAACCAATGAAATTACTCACCTTTGTTCATTTTTATATGTTCGTTTCATATGTTCGTTTCATTTACCCCCCTCCCCCCCTCTCGAGAGTGATGTTAACCGAAGAATTAACTTCAAACGGCCTAACCGTGACCAACGGAAAAAATTTTTTAAGTTCGTTTGTGTTAGGGTTAGTGCCTAGTTTAGTGTTAGAATTTAATAGGTTATATAGTAAAATTTATTAGGAAAATTTTTGTTAATGCACGAAAAGCAGTTTCATATGCAAAATTTTGAGAAATAAGCGATCTTTGACAAAACGACTGTTCGTTTTGAAATTTTCCGATTTGCGATTTCCGGCCCAAAATGTCACATGATCTTAACATCAGCGAGTCTGGTAACTCACCCACAAAAAATTTTCCGGAACGTGATTTTTAGCCAATTAGATCGAAGAGTCAGGTGTAACGTAAAATCAAAACAATCGAATTAAGCGAAAGAATTTAAAGTAATAAGCTTCTTCTTTAGGGTTAGAAATACGATTAAGGGAGGACATAGCTTATAAGACATGATTTTCACGTTACATCTGATCCTTTTATCTGATTGGCTAAAGTTACGTGCCGGAAAATTTTCTGTGGGTGAGCTACAGGGGTTATCATTAGCAACTACCCCAGTATCGCCTTCAAAAAAAACTACCCCAACAACACCCTGAATAATTCTGCAATATGTAATGTGCAAGCCAATCAGATTGCTGATTAGCACATGATCGACAACCTACATATCATATACCAGTCACACGTTTTGTCACATCCAAAATTTTATCATATAATTTTCATAAATTACACAAATCAATGAATTTACATTTTTTAAATTTTTTCAAACCTTAGCCGTAGTACATAAGGCCACACAAAATTATATACTTGGTTTTCATATCATGGGATGATATTAGTGACGCGGGCGCGCGGCTTTTTTTTTT